CTGATGTACCCACCATCAGAGAGGGGGGCCAGTCCCTCCATTAGCTCCTAATCTTTAAAAAAAAAACTCAATAGACTCTATCCAAACGGAGTTTTAGTAAAGAGACAACCTCGCAGGTTCTGCCTTCTATTTCCTTAGGTTCGAGAGCAGAATGCTACTTCTCTCTACCGAAGTACGTAGACGTGCAATCCAGCGACATATGTGGGGCGGGGCCATAAATTATGCAGACCCCCACAGTACTGGTACTAATAAAGCATGTGTCCCTACCATGGAAAAACCCCTAATCGGTTTTTGATTTACACCGGAACCTTGCGTCATTATTAACCCTGGTCGCCTTTTCCGTCGTTATGCCTGGGTTTCGAAATCCAAAATATCCTCCCCGAATCCTATAGGTCAGGAGTCCTATACGACCCTATAGGGATCCTATAGGAAATTCTATATGTTTCGTATGTGAAATAGCTTTAGGTTTCCAATAGGACATTTCCGTAAGGGCATGGCCCAGACCAGGATCCCAAGGCGATTTCCACAGTGATTAAATATCACAACTTTCACATGCCTTTCCTTCTGCAATCGGTAACGATTTTGCATCGAGTTAAATGTAGTCATATTCATTTTCGCACAGGATGCGAATCTGACGTGGTACACAGAGTGCCCGGACGTGACGCCGTGCTTCCGGCACACGGCACTGGTGTGGGTCCCATGCGGATGGCTCTGGGTCATGGCAGCCCGAGAAATTCACGACCTCTTCGGAAGCAGGGGGAAATATATTCCTTGGACTCGGTTGAACGTCGCTAGAATGGTATGCCCTGGGCGAATCTAATCGAATTACGCGATTTTCCTTTCAGACTGCCGAGTGGGAGAGCTTCTTTCTCTTCGATAGTGAGTGGTCCATACATTGGAAAAACCTGAACGATGTTGCCGGTTGCGAAGTATGTTCGGGAGAGAGATTAGCTTTCGTTTTTTCCTCACTGGTGATCGCCTGTGAAAAAAAAACGCTTTCTTTCCTCATCTTCCATTTGGTTCTAACAGATCTGAGGAGTAGACACTCTATGGTTTTGTGGAAACCTTGCTCACTGGAGATTTCTGTAAAGTGACTATAGGGCCAGTCCGTGATGATCACGAGAACGTCTGATCTTTGTTTACCAGTTCTTTGGAACGTCGTTGTTGGTGCTGTATTTCGTGGATCTGTTCCGTGCAATCGCCGCACACGAATCCTCACCGGCAAATTACCTCACGCCGGTGCTCCTCGTCCTCACGATGGCGAGTCCGCTTCCCGTGCCGATTATCTGGGGAATTATCTGGGGGATCGAGGAATGATCGCAAGCGGGTGCCGACGATCTCGCTTTTCCAGGTTCTTGCTTGCATCTTCGCGTATGCGGAGAAGGTGAGAGGCATCCCCGCATCGGGCATTTTGTTCGCGTTCTGGGTCCTCTTCTTCATCAGGGGTTCCATCTCTCTCTGGAGCGAGACGCTTCGCCTGTACCATCAGGTTAATCCGTTTCATCCCTTACGAAAATGCCTCATAAGATTCCTATACATTCCTTTAAGAATATATAGGATTCCTATAGGAACAAATAGGAATCCTTTAGGTTCCTATAGTGCCTATAGGGAACCCTTTAGGCCCCATAGGGTTCTGTTTGGGACTTATATGGTTTCCTTTAGAAACAATAGAGTTCTGTATAGAACCTATAGGTCTCCCTTTAGAACCTATAGGACCTATAGCAGTAGTGTCAAACTCAACTCGGTCGGCGGGCCGCATTCCTTATCCTGCAGATGCCTGCGGGCCACACTCATACTTTTTCACTAAAATTTGTGCTGACTGTCGAACCAAGCGGAAATTTCAAGAACAGAAGGCGGGCTGGATGAACCACCTCCTCGGGCCGTATGTTTCACACCCCTGACCTATAGGGTACTCTTTGAAGTTCTGCTAGATGGAGGAACTGGGTTCTCGCATTCTCAAAGTACACCAAAGTGCCCTCCCCTTACCCATGGAAACACAAGAGAGTTTTGTACGTCCCCAAATGTCTAGCTTTGCCTCATTGTAGCAATCAATAAATTTGGACAGTTCCTTATTTGTCATCCGCATCTTCCAGATAGAATCATGGAGTCCGGGAAAGAAATATGCCCTTATTCCTTTTGAAAACCACGTACGAGAATGATTTCATTCTATCCAAATGGGGTTTCAGTGAAGAGACGTGCTCGCAGGTTCTGTCTTCTATTTCCTTAGGGGGACAGAAGAATATTACATCTCTCTACCGAAGTAAGTAGCCGTGCAATCCAATGATATATGTATGGCGCGGCCATAAGTTATCCAAACTCTCGAAGTACTGGAGTTAATAATGCAAGTGTCCCTACCATGGAAAAACCCATAATTGGTATTTGATTAACACCAATATGCTGCGCCAATGTTAACCCCGGTCGCTTTTTCCGTCGTAATGCCTGTGTTTTGAAACCCAAAAAATTCTCCCTGAATCCTATAGGTCAGGAGACCTATAAGACCCTATAGGGATCCTATAGGATCCTATAGGTTTTTCGTGTTTCAAAATCCTATAGGAGAATCAATAGGTTTCCTATAAGAAATAACTATATGTTTCCTATAGAACATTTCCGTAAGGGTTATTATGGAATTTTGAAATAAAATATCGCCTCGAAACGGAATCCCTTACGGAAATGTCCTATAGGAAACCAATAGTTATTTCTTACAGGAAACAAAAACCTATAGACTTTCCTATAGGTTTTTGAAACTCGAAAAACCTATAGGATCCCTATAGAGTCGTATAGGACTCCTGACCTATAGGATTGGGGGAGGATTTTTTGGGTTTCGAAACCCAGGCATTACAACGCGAATGGCCACCGGGTCAATATTGGCGCAGCATTTTGGTGTAAATCAATAACCGTTTAGGGGTATTCCCATGGTAGGGGCACTTGCATTACGAATAACAGTACTGCTTAGGTCTGCAAAATTTATTTCCCAGGCCCACATATGTCGCTGGATTGCGCAGGATAGCGGAGAGATGTATCATTCTTCCCTCGACGGAAGGAAACGGCAGACAGAATCGGATTCCATGGGTAAGGGGAGGGCACTTTGGTGTACTTTGAGAATGCGAGAACCCAGTTCCTCCATCTAGCAGAACTTCAAAGAGTACCCTATAGGTCAGGGGTGTGAAACATACGGCCCGAGGAGGTGGAGGGTCATTCGCTTTTGTGAGTGCCATCATCGAGTTTTCCTTAATCGCAGCCCAGCTTTTTCTTCACTTCTTTGCCGATGCTCCACCGATTTATTCCAGGATTTCAGTCGGTTCTGAGGTGAGTCCGATGAAGTCATTACCACTTGAAGTCTTTGAATTTTTTAATTGGGGAACGTCGAATGCAGAATCTGTCTCCCGAGGGGCGCAGCTCTTTCGTGTCCCGGCTCTGGTTTTCCTGGTTCACGGGTCTCGTGTTGCTGGGGTGGAAGCGCCCGCTCGCTTTTCCTCACCTTTGGGACCTCGATGGCGAGGATACGTCGAAGAGTGCTGCTGCAGCTTTCGACAGAAACTTACGGAGGCTGAACGGATCAACGGTCGCACAGAGGTCCCGATGCGTATTATTTTGGGGGAAATTAGTAAAATCGGAGAGCGCGAATGATCATTGTTCTTTTGCCCCAAGGCGAGACGATAGGAGCTCAGCAGATGACGGCGTGAACGATCCAGGAAGGAGAATATCCATCGTGAGTCCTTTATGGAAGGCATACGGAGCCCCATTCCTCTTCAACGGATTCCTCCAGCTGCTCGGTGACTTGATGGGATTCGCAAGTCCGTTGCTGCTCCGGTGAGGCCTCCTTCTCTGCCCTCGGCGCCTGCAGAGTGAGGATGTCCGAACGAAAAAGTCCTATAGGAAGCCTGTAGACTTTTTCTATAGGAAACCTATTTATAGGTTTTTGAAACACGAAAATCATATAGGATCCCTATATGATCCCTATAGGACTCCTGACCTATAGGATTCGGTGAGGACATTTTGGGTTTCGAAACCCTGGCATTACAATCGGGATTACTACTAAAAGGGATAACCAACAGGATCGAAATTGGCGATACTTTTTGCTATAAATTCATTACCGAGTAGAGGTTTTCCCATGATCGGGGCATCTTCAGTACTAGTACTGCCTGGATCATGATTACTCTTTGTCCATACGCGCACATGTCTCAAGGATGGGCTGAATGGCGTATCCGCGAGCTCACTTCTTCCCGTGGAGCGAGAAGGATCTTTCTCCACCAGGGGGCAGGGCATTCCATGCAAAGTACTTTGATATGTGGCCATGGGTTTCATACTTGCCCGCGAAACACGCGGTTTTGTGCTGTGTATGTTGCGTATGCATCAGCAGAGAGGTCTTTTTCGGAATTGGACGCAGACGACGACGACACAACGGCGCCTGACAAATGTCGCATTGATGCATGCACAACAATACATTTTGGACTACTTAGAATTAGATGAATTGATTAAATATTTGGAAAAGAAAACTGAGGAAAGGAGAATATTTGCACTCTCATTTCAGATGAACTTGATATCCTGATCGTGTTCGAATTAAAAATTAATTTTCCGTATTTCGGAACTGACCCGTCCCATTTGCTTTCAAGGACGTACCTACGCCTATGATAGGTCCAAAATGAGAAACTTATAGGATTCCTATACATTCTCATAGAATTCTTATAGGGCATTTTCGTACGGGTGATGCACCGTCTTATTTTGCAGTCAGTTGATCTCGTTCGTAAGCGGAGATGCACCTCTGTGGCAAGGCTGCGTCTACGCGGCCGGGTTGCTCCTCGTCGCCGTCCTGCAGGCTATTCTTTACGGGGCGGCGTTTCAGAGGTCCAAGCTGATCGGGATGCGGATGAGAGCGGCAGTCATTTCCGTCATCTATAGGAAGGTTCGTCGTCGGCACGGCGCTCGAGCTTGGGATGGGGGTCGAGCTTGAGGCGATCGTCTGGATCGTTCCAGTCCTTGCGGTTGTCGCCGGCGGCGCGGAAGGAGCGCACGGTCGGCGAGATGGTCAACTTGATGTCGGTGGATGCGACGCGGTTCCTGGAACTCTCTGGCAACCTGAACATGGTTCTCACTTCGCCCGTTCAGATCGGATTGGCTTTCTATCTCCTCTGGGCTCAGATCGGTACTTTCGGCAGCAAGGACGGGCTAATGTGCTGATTATCGCCGATTTGCCTATAATTGCTAATTTAATCATTCAGACATATTCGTTGACAGGGATTTCCCTGTTGGCCGGGGTGGGGGTCATCATTCTCGTCGTTCCCATCAACAGCCTGATAGCTGCTCGCTTTCAGAAACTCCAAGTGCAGCAAATGGAAGAGAAGGACCGCCGAGTGAAGCTCATGAGTGAAGTTCTCAACGGGATCAAGGTGATGATCATCTCGGGTGTGTTCTTCGCAAATTTCTCCAAAATTATGAAAAGAGTTCTATCGCTCCACAGGTGCTGAAGCTGTACGCATGGGAGCTGGCTTTCCAGCGGCGTGTCTCGAGCATACGAGACAAGGAGCTCCGCCTGCTCCGGGAGCAAGCCTTCCTGGGAGCAATGAACTCGATGGTCTGGACGTGCACTCCGTTCCTGGTAGTCTTTCGTCGAAATGTCGGGTGGGGTGTCGGGGGGGTGTCGGTTTCGTTCACTTTTGGGAGTTTTTCGACAGGTGTGCTTGGCGTCTCTCGCGGCGTTTGTGCTGGTGGACGAGAGCCACGTCTTGGATGCTTCCACGGTCTTCGTGTCCCTGAGTCTTTTCCGGATCATGCGGTCACCCCTCGCATATCTCTCGTATCTGACGACTAGCATCATTCAGGTGAGTGTCGTTTTACTGGGTTGTAGCGATTTCTGGTACCGATTCTTGCTCGAGTGAAGATTCGGTCGAAGGTTCGCTTCTTTTGCAGGCTACGGTGTCTGTGAAAAGGATAAATAAGTTCCTGAATTCTCATGAATTAGATCCAAACAACGTATCGCGCGATCCAACTCTAAGTACTGGTACGTCCCATCCATCGTTCACGATTTGGTGATCACATCAACTAAAGAAGTATTTAAAAGTTTAGTAGAAACAATCCCGTTCGCGTAATAAGGATGCGCCGCCCTGATCTCGAACGGGACATTCGCCTGGGCGCCGAACGAGCCTCCGGTGCTGAGGGACCTCCACCTCGGAATCTCCGCGGGGAAGTTGGTCGCGGTGGTGGGACGTGTGGGCTCCGGGAAATCCTCCCTGCTCTCGGCCTTCCTGGGGGAATTGGAGAAAGTTTCGGGATTCGTCAATATCCAGGCAATATCCGTCGTATTCGTTGGATGTGGCATTTGGCTCGGGATTTCATGTCGAGTTGCCACAAAGTATATGCGATGGGCAGGGTTTAAAATATGCACAATAAGAACTTCGTAAAACTAATGGGAAATCGAGAACATCTAATTAAGTACTCAGAGTTTAGGTTTCGTTTTTCTTCCTTTGCTCCAGCTCATTATTCAGTAGGAATTTTCAGGAATATTTCCTGAAAGGAATACCTGAGGAACAAGAGATGCTGCGGTAGACACAATGTGCTTTTTTTAATTAAAATATACCGACAGGTACCTCTCGATACCCAAGGATGCATTCCAGAACGTAGTGCTTTTAACCGGAGGATGCGGACTTCATAAACGAATCTGAACTCTTTGCTTCAGAGTGGGATCATGAATATTTCGTTCCATCTGACTATGTGGTAATTAATTGGAGATCTTCGAACTGAGCACGAAGGGAGGTGTGAGTGCTTTTTTAAAACTTTATTTGGTCTTTTTTTATTTAATGAGCCATTTGGTATGGAAACCCCATCAGCATCATGATAATAATGGTTGTGGGAGCAGCACGTCATTCTGAGCGATGCATTTCAAACGAAGGAACTATATCGCCTGTTCCAAATGTTCTGACAGGGGGACGTGGCATACGTCCCACAGGAAGCTTGGATTCGAAATGCTTCGATCAAGGATAATGTTCTTTTTGGGAAATCATGGAATGAAACGTTCTACGAGGAGATTGTGGCGGCCTGTGCTCTGGAACAAGACTTGGCTCAGCTCCCGGCTGGGGACCTGACTGAAATTGGGGGAAAGGTCCGGTATTTAAGCGCAAATTTCCATATGCCCAGCACATTATGATAAATATATATATATAAAATACCAAAAAAAATACTCAGGGCATAAACCTGAGCGGAGGACAGAAGCAGAGAGTGAGTCTGGCGAGGGCAGTCTACAGCGATGCGGATGTTTTCTTCATGGACGATCCTCTCAGTGCTGTAGACAGTAACGTGGGAAAGCACGTTTTTGAGCATGTGATTGGACCTAGAGGGATGCTGAGGAACAAGGTGGGCATATCAATACCTTGATTGTTTCAGAAAGGTGTTTGTAGTGCTCTAGCGAAAGCGTTGATGGTCGCAGACTCGGGTGCTCGTGACGCACGGAGTGACCCACTTGCCACAAATGGACCTCATCGTCATGATGCAAGGCGGCGGAATCATGGAGACCGGGACATATCAAGAGTTGCTGGAGAGGAAGGAAGCGTTCTCTCATTTTGTCCTTCAGTTTCTTCGCGAAGAAAAAGAGGACGACTCAGGTGCGTCCTTCATATCTTCAGTATCTCCGTTTACATCACTACAGTGTGCAGAGAGCATTCTATGCTTCTATATCGTGCAGAAGAGGATTTGGAGGAAATGAAGCAGGAAGTGGAGAACGTGATGGGGCTGAAGATTCCGTGCAAGCGAATGTCAAAACAGCAGGCGAGCAGCTTTCAAAGTGGAAGAGTTAAACCGGTTTCTGTCAGGTGTGTCTTTCGCTATTGTATTCCATGTCTTAAGCCGAATGTTGATAATTAATCTTATCTTTTTTCATTTTTTTGCCATTGTAGTGAGGTATTAAATATAGGAAGAGGAAGAAACGCATCTCAAGGTGCGACTGAAGGTCGACTCATTCAGGATGAAACTGCTGAGAAGGGAAGGGTGCGAGAAACGATTTTTCATTTTCAGCACAAACTTACCTCCATTGCCCTATGAGTTGGAACGATTTTTCATGCAGGTGAAGTGGCTCGTGTACGTGTATCTCCTGAAGAGCATGGGCCTGTCCTTGGCATCGGTCATGATCCTCATGCATGGGCTCAGCGAGGGATTTCTCGTCGGCTCGAACATGTGGCTCTCCAGATGGTCCAACGAGGCCTCCTCGAATGGCACCACCGCCACCTCACGAAGGAACGAGTACCTGGGAGTCTACACTGGGCTGGGACTTCTCCACGGTGAGTCTCGCATACGCTGGGAGTTTGTCACAAAATGCAATTGGATCTCCAGATGCATCCCTTTCAGCTGGCGCCTATGCCACTGGCGCCTGGATGCTTTGGGTCTTGATTTGCAAGGCTGGGGGGAAACTTCATGGGAACTGCCTCCGAAACGTCTTGAGAAGCTCGCAGACTTTCTTCGATACGAATCCGGTGGGAAGGATTCTGAACCGATTTTCTCAGGATATTTCAACTGTGGACGAGAGGATCTCCCAATTCTTGATGAATCTCATCATTTGTGGTTTCGAGGTGATGAAATGAGTATTTAATAGGTGATGAACGAAGTTCATATCGAGACTGACTTTTTTGAGCTATTTGCAGGTCTTGGGAACCTTGGTGATCATCATCTACGCTGTTCCATGGTTTCTTGCTGCTGTCATCCCCATCATGACTGCTTATTACTTTGTCCAGGTGAACACGGAATTCCAATCGAATTTAATTGCTATTCCATGATTGCTGCTATTTATTTGTGTATCATACCGTTCTCAGAACATGTACGTCTCAACAGCACGGCAGCTGAAAAGGCTTGAATCTATATGGCGATCCCCAATCTATTCCCATTTTGGAGATACTGTGAATGGAATCTCATCCATCCGAGCATACGGACGAGAGGAACAGTTTATCAAAGAATCAGAGGAAGGTGTCGATAACAATAACAAGTGTCTATGTCCAAGATTCACAGCTGCCAGGTCATATTCTTCATTCCAGCTTCGCTATTATCGATGTCAAGTTGACATTTAACCTTTGTCTATTCTAAATTGGGTTTCGAGTTCTTTCACCTTCTGTGTCCTGCATTGTTAGAATACCATTGATTTCGAAGCCAATATCTGCATTTGATATTATTAAGCTCTAAAAATGTGCATTTCGAATTGATTGGAACAGGAAATATGATGAAGGCTGTTGGATTTCAGGAAGCTCCCATCATCTTGTTCATTGCATACATTAAATAAATATTATTAGCCAGATTTACTACCAGGAATTAGATACATTTGAGGAAACTATCGCTTTGTGAATAAAGGATGATAGAATTTCCTGAATAAGGAACATTATTAGTACGAAATAGTACTTTTTTGATCCCCCACTTTTATTCCGCGGTATAGTTGGTTGAGAGTCCGACTTGAAGCGCTTGGAGGCATCATAGCATTCATTGCTTCCCTTCTTGCCGTGCTTGGGAGGAGTTCCTTGAGTCCTGCTTTGGCTGGTTTGTGCATCACCTATGCCATCTCTGTCAGTTTCTTTTCATCGTCTGACGTGTTTTGTGTTGAGTGTGAACTGTGCACTAAAACGCTGATTTCTAGATTTCGAAAACGTTCAACTGGATGGCGCGGATGGTGAGCGAAGTGGAGACGAACATCGTGTCTGTGGAGAGAATCAAGGAATACTGCGAGACCCCTACGGAGGCTCCATGGGAGATCCCGGAGAAGGAACCAAAGGAGGACTGGCCCCAGGAAGGACGTGTTTCCTTCCGAGAGTATCAGACGAGATACCGAGAAGGCCTAGGGCTTGTTTTGAAAGGTATATCCGTGGACATAAGAGGAGGCGAGAAGGTGAGCCGTCAGAAACTGCGTCAACGGTACGCTGACCAACTCGTAAAAGCTGGTTCATAGGAAAGTCGTGATGAAAAAAATGGGATAACTGCCAAAGGATGCTAACACAAGGGGATGCATTTGAATTCATAGATACGCGAATGTCCATTTTATCGCATGGTTGGGTGCTGTCATTTGCTATCGATATATCCCTGTCCTTTTATCTTTGTGAAAAGTCAAAGCGTCCTGTCAATGTTATGGCTATGCAGTAATATTATCATAGATGTTATCGTAGACATTGTCATGAAAATTTATGTCTAATAGGAAACCAGGCAGGAAGCTGGAAAATGAAATTTGGGATATATAATACTGTAGAACAGTACAGCGCAATAATTTCATTTTGAACGACATCGTTTGAAAATATCTCATTCCGATACGCAAAGATCTGTTGAAACGAGAATAAAAAAGCTGTGTTGCCACAAGAAAGTAGGGCGAGATGCATGCTACTACTCCACCTTGGATTATTCAGGTTACAATTGAATTTCGAGTTGAAATAGAGGCGCATGGGTTTGAAGGTTTGCTGATGTGATTGCCGGTGAGAGAGAGCAGGGACAATTGTAAACGGGAAGGTTTCAGTTGAAGTTGGGGTTGAGAGGAGAGTCATGGTCCCCGAGAGAAGATATATTTGCATGATTCGGTAAGATTAACGACGACATTAGGTAGATTATGGTGATTATGGTGATTATGGGAAACATAGTGGCGTTGTACAGGGTGGACGGGATAGTCCCGTCCTATTTTATGCGATATTTACGCGATGAGAACACTTCTTTTATGTAAAAAAAAACGTTTATTTCAACAGTTTACAGGTTGTATATGTTGCTGGACATGCAGGGGAACATCATCTACTCAATATAGCCACCCTCCTCTTTATGACATTCGTACAATCAATAATTTTACCGCGAAATTTGATTTTGTCAAAAATATGCGATAGGACGGGACTATCCCGTCCACCCTGTAGGAACGTTCAGCCTGTGTCGATACCGTGTCATCAACGTTGAAGGTCCCAGTCCAACGTTGCATAACTGTCTTAGCAGCGTTATGTCACTATAAACCTTCTTAAATCAAATTTTTGAATGATATTTTTGGTAGTATCATGGAACATGCATCGTGAAATAGGGAATACAGTTAATCTTTTCAAGAAACGAACGAGAACCTATCCAGTGTTACCAAGCAACGTTGGTCCTGCCTCTGCTTCGACATGCAACCGCGTCATTCATTGGGGATTCTATGAAAGTGTCGTAAGATAAAAACTGCATAGAGCCATAAATCGTTAAATCCCTGCCCAGAAGAAGCTATGATATGGAACATGTCTGTGCTTGCTGGGGAAAGTTGAACCAATCTTGAACTTCGACCTGCACCCCATGCCAATAGCACTAGAAATTAGCTCAATGCTGGACCAGCTTTGAGCATGTTGTCATCTTGCCATTATTGCCAATATCGGCTAAATATTGGCTTCCCAATATTGCCATTTCATCATCGATCCAATATCGAACTGACGCGATGAACTAATGTAACCAAGTTTAACGTAGAAGTGTATGGGTCTCGCTTTTCGCACAGTATATAAAAGTCTACTTTCCTCTTTCCTTGGAATCATCACTCACAAGAATGTTTAGTGCCTCATGTGTCACTTCTAGTCTCATTATATCAATAAAATCGGACACTTTATCATTTATTATCGCCATATTCGAGACAGAATCATGGAGCCCAGGCGATAAACGAGCGAGTATATTCCCTATGAGAACCCCTTGCATTGTTAAATGCGTTTTATCCGAAAGTGGCTTCCTCTGGCGGATGAATTGATTTTGCAAAAATTTCGTAGAACAAGAGTGCATTGGCTCTTCCATAATTAATGTACTGAAATATGTATATTCAGTACATTAATTATGTTTCTTTACCTTCGTTTTTGACCCAGTACTGGGGTCGGGGTGAATGTTCCAATAAGCGACACTACAATGTTGTTCGAATGTTCAGCCAATGTTGAACTTCAACGTTCATCTGAATATTGCGATGAGCAAGATTAAAATATTGACTTAATGTTAGATGCAACGCATCGGTTGGAGGGTTCAAAATTAACGTTCAGACAACGCTAATTGAATGTTCGTATGTTCGCTGGGACTTTCTCTGGTGCCACTTTCTTACTTTTTCTTATACATATTTTTTTTGCGAATGGTTGTGAAGTACGCATTAGGTCAATAAAATTGTTTTGCTTCCATTTCATAGCGTTTTCATCTATGAGACGAGTTGTCTCTCATTCCCCACCACATTTCGGATAGGTTGGCGTGGTGGGCCGAACAGGGGCTGGCAAGTCTTCCCTCATGCTGGGACTCTTTCGCATCATTGAAAAAACAGGTGGAATGATTACAATAGATGGCATCGATATCAGTCAAATTGGACTTCATGACCTTCGCTCGCACCTCACAATAATTCCTCAGGTGATAACTATCAAAGAACTTGAAAACGTTGCATCTTGATACGATATCGACGTTCAAACAGGACCCAGTGCTTTTCTCGGGGAACCTCCGCATGAACCTGGATCCGTTTGAGAAGCACACAGATGAGGAGATATGGATAGCCCTCGAATTGTCGCACCTGAAAGCCTTCGTGAAGGATCTCCCGCAGGGACTTCAACATCCCGTTGCAGAGGGAGGACAGAACCTTAGGTACGTGGATATTGGCCATTGGCCACGTATATCGACTTTTTCACTTAGAGCATACGAGGAATTGCTACCTGGATTCCTTTTTAGTGCTGGCCAGAAGCAACTCATCTGCCTTGCAAGGGCACTGCTCAGAAAGACTAGAATCCTTGTACTCGATGAGGCAACAGCCGCGGTCGACCTAGAAACAGATGAGCTCATTCAGGTAAGTGAAGCCCTTCTCCCGGTCGATGAGACGACATTGATTTCTGTCCATACAGCATGGTGGGGTTGTCACAAGTTTTGAGGCATGTCTCGAATTTTTTAATTTTTAAGTAGTCATTAAAGCTTCTTCACGTTTGTGTTATGAGGACTTCAGTCGCATCTGACAATATTGTTAACAAATTAAAAGTGCGGCAGCCGTAAAAAAAATGCAGAATTCAGATGTGGAAACCTGGAAAGGAAAAGGCTGGAAAACTATCGATCTCTGCCATATTATGTAACAATGAGTGAACATGATATGGAGCATGTAGCATTGCAGCAGATTATTATGAGGTGTTAAGATATAAATGCTCGTTTTCCTAAATGAAGAGAAGTATCATCAGATAAAAATGTCAGTAGCAGGAAACATAGCGCCACAAAAGGTACTTTGTTATCCAGCCCCTTATCTAAGTCTATCTGCTATCTAGAATGCGATCCGGAGGGAATTCAAGAGCTGCACGATTCTCACCATTGCTCATCGCATCAACACCATCATGGATTATGATCGGTGAGACCGTGAACCGATATCGCCCTCGCTTTCCCTCAAGAACTCAGCTTGTTGTCAGACTGGCTATTTACAGGGTGCTGGTCTTGGATGAAGGAGAGATCAAGGAATTCGACAGTCCGATGAAACTTCTGGAAAACTCGAAGTCAATCTTCACCGATCTAACAAGGAACGCAGGCCTCAATGTTCGACAATGAAAGAGTACCTTTGAGAAAAAATATAAAACATTCAATCATATGATGGATGCTTCTTTGAAGACTGGGAGTTTGCAATGTGATGGTAACGAAAATCGGGTGTTGGTTGACGCGAGCTTTTTCTGCTGCAATTTGTGGTGTGAGGGCTTTCCCAGTTCCCAATTCCTCTATATCGTTACTTCAATCTTTTTCCGTCTAAGAAAAGGCGCACCTACCGTCAATTCCATCTGTGACTTCATGTGAAATGAGATCATCGGTGTCCACCAAGTCGGTGAATGGGGAAATGAATGGGTAAAGAAATGGATGCGTTGCGTTAAAAATGTCATTAGCGAATCGAGAATATTTATGGAATTGAATCCGTTTGTATAATTCTCAAAACAGGTTCCGCTGGTCTTCCCTGAGAAGAACTATTCAAGCAATCCCACAGAAGAAAGAGGTCACCAAGGATTTTTAGAGATAGAAAACTACTAAGGGTTGGCGAACCTTCGAAATTAACGCATAACTAGATATCGAAAGTAGGTAAGGGACCGATATAGGGACCTATGAGAGATTTTAAAGCAGAAAATTGGCTACGGTCCTTCAATTCTAGGTCTCGGCAGTGCAGAAACGTCATTTATCTCGACTATCCAGCGCGTCAGCGCAAAAAAAAATATTGCCAATTATAGTACGCGTAGTTCTGGGGAAGGTTTCAGAGGTGTCTGTGCACTTGTCTTGGGAATTCAGACGTGCGACTTTCCTTGGAATGTTATCCGTGGTCTGGAAAGACGTTTGACCGTCCCGAAAAAAGCAACCATTTGATAATGACCTTTGGGACTGGGGAATCGCGACTTTCTAAAGGGAACTTTACCTACTCTTCCAGCCTGCACAAGTTTAACGAATTCATAAAAAATTTGACTGCAATCATAGAGGACACGCCGATATTGGGAAAAAATGCGAACGCAGGATATGAGAAAGGAATCGGAAAAGGTTTGCACAAAAGTTTAGGGAAAGTCGTGGAGGGACGTAGTTTACAACAGTGCCCGTGACCGTGAAGGTCAAAGTCACCTCATTGACATGTGTTTAGAGACAGCCCATGCACGGCTCTCTCCTTGCATGCATCTGGCAGTGGGTGCAATGTAGTGCAATAGGACGTGATAACCATCCAGAAGGCAGGGAAGTTAATCACGGAGCATCGGTTCTCAAAGTGCAGCCCGATTCCCGCATCTAGTCCAGTTTCTGATTCTATGCAAAACGAGTTTTACTTTGCGCTCAGATTATGCAATCAGGTCGTTGGGGAGCGGGGCGGAATTTTTAGTTCAACAAGTTTCGTAAAAAACGTACTTATGTGGCTCTCACCCCAGAAACCTGAGGATCACAATCATAGAGAGGAAAATGTATGAATACCAACGAAATGTGAAATGCCAATGCCACAGTACGAAAATACCAGAACTCTAGGAACACATAGATTGGTTAAGAGGTATTAAGTGATGTTACGTAGTGGAGCGAGATGCCCAGGAGCACTGTTTTTAGAGTAAATTTCACTGTCCGTGACTTAAGCCTTCGCGATTACGACGTTCGCATCAGTGTTCGAAACCCTTTCTCGTTTTTTTATTTCCTTCGCGCTGATTCATTTTTGGGTGTGTACTAATCCAAGAATGTAGTATTTTTCCAGCCTTGACGGCGTCGTGCAACTGGTCACTGTCCTTTGACTTTATCTGCAGTTTATCATCTTTGCTCATGACGCGCTTTCTTGCAGGCTCTTTGGTTGTTGAGTCATTCCTTGAGCTATGACCTTTTGACTCACCCTCTTGGAGGACGAGGGCTCACTGATAAGTGACATCTATTCCATTCATGTAGGAATTCCATACGTTCCATTGATGCCGAACAGGGGTGAAGCTCCGAGCTCGACTAGGGGATGATGACTTGGGCGGAGGTTCCAGCATCTTGCCACGTTTGAACCTTGCTAGGTTCGGTTTCGTTCGCGGTCCTCCGATTACCCAAAATATATTCGCTGCCTTCATCCATCCCATGCCGGTAGCGACACTGGCACTTTGGCTTGTATTTTTTGTAGCACGATGTCTCTCTTCGATTCTATATAACACCTCGGACGCATTATGGATGGATATTGTGCGATATAGCTCTCAGTGATGGAATAATGATGATATTGATCGATTTCCTAGTCGAGGAGTTGATATGAATTCAGAAGTAAAAAGTTCAGGGGCATCCATTCAATTCACGCTGAAAACAATAATATAGTATATGCTTTCCATATTCTACTGTACAGGTTGGCGCAAAAGTCGCGCACCATAGGGTAAATCAAAGTAAATGTTCAAATCGTTGGACAATAACTTAAAAACACTTCGATTCGTTGCACACATAATGTTTGAACATATCTTAACTCCGCATTCTCGCCTTTCATTAATTTTGCAGCCATCAGTTACCTGCAAATAAAAAAAGGAACAATAATTAATGTTGTGTAACACTAAAATCGCATATGGTGCGCGACTTTTGCGCCACCCCGTATATCTCACGTCTATCTATAAAAAATATATGAGATAAAAAATATATATCTAATAAATATATCTGATCGACCATCCCACAATCCATGCAAGCAAAGCTGGCGATAAAACCTCTCCAGTGTCCATAGCGATAAACCTCTGGCCATTTGCTCTGCTGTCACTCTTCGAGAGGAGAACAATTACTTCCGCAAGCAGTTTTCAAGGAGTGCTGGAAGATGGACCGAGAGACCTGTGAAGAATTCCTTCAGGTAAAAGTCGCCACGAAGGCATAGTCTCGTTCGATGGTGTTCTTTAAACTTATACGTTTACATTTATACTGTCACTTGGCTTTTTTTAAATTACTGACGAAGATCCTTAGATAGACTTCGATCCTTGATTATGAAGGCTGCCCACGGAAGAGTCTTGGTACGATGGCACAGAGAAAATATTCCATCCATCCCTAACATCTATTCTTTATTCCTGGGAAATTGTTTCAACAATACTCTCCCACCAAGTGCGGGCGTTCCGTCCATTGTAGGGTTTGACCTACCTGACTCAGGCCATGCAAATGGTATGTCGGTGATTAAAGTCCACTTGGACATGAAGGTGCGGTCCAAGATGAATGGATATGGATATGGACACCACATTCGAATCACCCGCAGATGAGTGGTTGTCTCCAAAAAGCAAACGTAGCGAAGGCCGAAGGAAAAAGTAATGGAGCAACGTTCAAGTTCACGAAAATGCCGAGGGACATAACTAATCAGACGATGATCCACGCGTTCCGAAATGATGCCATTATCTCCTGCCGGAATTTTGATAACGTGTTCTCGCGTCTTGCCCTCCCAATCTGACGCGACGTGTCAGGAATGCAGAAGAATAGAAATGACATCAAGCATGTTCAGTGGTTCCAGTGAGAATGCCTGTAATGTCTTGTCATTGTCAACTTTATTTTTTAAGAGGAGACTATGTTTAGTTGTTCATAATTAGTTATTGGAATATGTTTATAATTAGGCTCCACGTTTAGTACATCCAAAGCTTATTGGATAAACATCAGGGTCACGTCTCAAAATTGCTGTATTGACATTACCTAGGTAGATAAGCAATCGATTAATCGCTAGAATCGTAAGCCGTTCCAATCTGATTTTTGCAACGTTCCAACAGCTTTCCATTTTTCTGGAAGAATCTACTGAGTACTAAGAAACCAATGTAACTGCATTTATGGTATTCATTGCCTGAAGAAAAACTATGAACTCACAGTCGCTATAGATGAAAAAAAGTTGTCTACCTTATCGACTCAATAACTAACTTAAACTGACTTTAAACGTATGCATAAGGACATTTTCATAACGTGAACCGATGCTGTTTTCCCTAATTCCATGGAAGTTCAACGGCACCAAAGGGAGAACTCAATAGTGATGTGATTTTGGAGGTCGATCACAAAGTCCCTCATGGATGCAAAAAAAGGGTTCAACATCTGAGATATGGCTACATGGTCATTGAATGTATTCTCTCCCCATTCCACCCTTTTTCTTTCGGCTTCTTGGTGCAACAAATTCTGTTACTTCAGGCCTTGGATGACTCGATCACAGTTGGATCAACCATTTAGACATAATGACATCCCTATTGCAAACTAAATGTTTGCAATCGGGTTGCTTATTGTCATCAAGCAAAGTTGACTTGGATTCGAGGTTTTGGGACGTCTTTTTCAGGTTGCAATTTTTTAAAAAGCAGTTATGCATTGAAATCTCTATTTTTGCTGGAATACTATCGACATGGGTACTTCTAAGGTCATTTCCTCGGCATAGCAGTACGCATTGATTGGATTTCACGCTTCTGCAGGCCCAACTGACGGAGAAAGTGATGAAGGCACCCATAGTGAAAGAGCATTCTCCGAACGGAAGCGCAGAAGAGAAGGTGAAAGCAAATGCGGAAGGAGGAAAGGAGAATGTCCCACCGGGGGAAGAAAAACACTTCAATGAGGACGCACAGGTGGTTGTTTACTGGAAGGAACCTCATTACAGAGTGCTTCTGCCTTCTTGCTTGGGTTGATCTGTATATTAGGATATTCATTTTTATTCAGGCACAAACGGAGAAGCAAGACTCTGACAAAGACGATGAAGCTAAAACAACAGAGGAAAATGGAGAGGAGGAAGACCAACCTTCGGGTGATTCGGACCCTGCCAAAAACGAAAACGATCCTCAGGTAGTACTTTCCTCTTAAAAAACATTTTCATACTTTGTATATAAATGAGAGACCACGCTGCGTTGAGGTTCTCTTGGTTAGATCTCACAGTAAAGGGACAGAGCCATTTTGTCGTCTTCTCGGAGGCAGATGGGGTATACAGGTGTGAAATCGGTGGGGCAAGGGCTCCCCTCATTTTTAAGGTCTTGCTTCCGTCTGGCACAATTACACCCGAATTTCAATTCAAAATGAAAGCCTAAAGAGCAGAGTGTGTTCCTCTTCCTTGCCAAAATTTAAAAATTCAAAGGCTTTCAAGTAAAGAAAAAAATCAAATGAAAGACGTGCACACATTGAGTATCAGTTCAGGTTCTGACCAGATATTTACAAATGGAGAACTTCACAAAAAAATGGGCACTCAGGATGGATACCACTCTGCAATTTGTGCTGAGTAAATCTCAAACAATAAAGGAACTTCTACAGGGTGACCGGAAAGTTCGGAGACTTGTAAAATTTTTTAGATTTTTTTCAAGTGTGAGGCTTCATTTCTTCCACGAGTCTTGCTCTAAGCTTAATCTTTTTTGCATCGCAAATATGACTCCTCCCGGTGCAGATATGGCATCGAAACCCAGCCGAGAAGCTGTGATTTACATGTTTCAGCAAGGTCATTCACCTGCAAAGATCATCAAGGAGCTGAAACTGCCACGATCCACTGTGTACAAAGCCATTGCCCGCTACAAGGAAGTTGGTACAACTCAGGATCGACCCAAAAGTGGCCGTCCCAGTGTCTTCAAAGATCCTGCTCTTCGATAGCGTGTCAAACAGTTTCTTGATCGAAACCCGGAACGGAAGTGCTGAAGTCTTGCAAAGCACTTGAAGATCAAGCGCGAGACTCTGCGCTCCTATCTTAGAAAGAAGTTGGGCATTTTCCCTTTCAAAAAAAGAGTAGTTCAGGAGCTTACGAAGAAGAAGAAGGAATTGCGGAAGCAAAAATCAAGGAAACTACTGGTGAGATTCAAACGAAACTGACACGGTCGGATCGTGTTCTCAGATGAAAAAGTTTTTACAGTTCAGCAAGCGTTTAATCCCCAAAATGATCGTGTCTGGTCCAGAAAAGTGTCCAGAGTCTTGTCAGAATCTCGGTTTGTGCAAAGAATGCAAAAACCCCAGTCTGTCACGGTCTGGGGTGGCATTACAGCCGACGGTAAAACACCCTTGCATTTTGTGGCTCCTAACATCAAAATCGATGCCAATTACTGTCAAATGAAGTTCTGAAGAAGGTTCTCTATCCTTGGGCAAGTGATCATTTTGGGGATTCTTCCTGGACATTTCAAGAAGACAATGCCCCAGCTCACACCAGCCGGTCAACAAAAGAGTGGTGCGTGCACGAGTTGCTAGATTTTATCGGTCCAGAAGCTTGGCCCTCCTGTTCCCCTGATTTAAATCCGATGGACTATAGTATCTGGTCCTTTTTGGAGACAAAGGTCTGTGCTACTCAGCCGGAAAATTTGGACAGCCTCGAGTCAACTTTGCTCGAGTCAACAGCATGGGACGAAATCCCTGTGAAACAATTGCGAGAAACTGTGGATAATTTTCCAAAACGCCTCAGAAAAGTTATTGCTGCCAATGGGGGCTATTTCGAAGATGTCTAACTCATTTTGAAGTTTTTCTTATGTTCTTTCTTATGAAATAAAAAAAAATATATTATTCTTTATGGCATCGGGATATTGGTATTTTTGAGTGTCTCCGAACTTTCCGGTCACCCTGTATATAAAAAATAGTTGTACTTGTATTGAGACTTACCTTTTGACTTAGTTTGGGTTCATCTGGCTTAATATTGTGAAGAAGAAAATGCTGGACCTAAGGTAGTGACACTTGAGCATATGAACCTCCACTGGAATTTCATTTTTTTTGGATCCCCTTGGAATGTGTTACCACCTGATCGATTTTGCAGGATGAGCCAGCAATTGAAAAGCTGACTCCATATCAAGGGAAGAAGCGGAGCTTCGGGAGATACAACTGCCCAAAATGCAGCTCGGAATGGTACAGTGCAAACAGTTGGGCCAACATGGGGCAGTCCTGCCGAAACTGCGATATTAATGTCTACCCCTGCAATCAGGTAATTGATACGCTCTTTCACATTTCCTTCCGGATTTGCAGGTCAAAAACACTCCCAAACCTGAAGCGGGCTTTCCCTTCAGAAGAAAAGAAACAACTCTAAGACTAGTTTCATCTACAGGGGATACGTCTTCCTTTGTTCTTCCTTACAGCGAAAGAGAGTGTCGCACTGAATAATTTCAGGGCAAACGAGGAAGTGTCTAATTTTATGTCGATATTACTGCAGTGGAGAAGACCCTCCCATAAATGACAAATAAATACCAATGATTTTCTGAAGATGCAAAACAGAACCCGTAGTGAAAATGTTCTACCTCAGTTGCAGCTGCGTAGCAGACACGTGAACAGAGCCCCATAGCTTATCCCTTGAGACTTTCAGATGTTTAACTCGTTCGATGCGTTGAACACTCTTATTGCGAGAGCTGCCTTGGAATCACTTCAGGAGCAGAAGATAGGATGCGTTTTACCCATCAGCTTCTTTTATTTCACGGGCTGGATATATTCTCCTGGAACCTCTGCGTTGGGTAGCGCTTTTGGCGCGTCGATCGTCTAGGATTTTCTTAAATGCTTCGTTTGCTACGAAATGAAGCATTAGCGGTACGTTTTTCCCTACATGCTCTTGGAACCAGAGCATGGCAGCACCACGGCATTGAAGCAGCACTGGTATGATATCATACCTTGGTTACGTGATTTCTACATATTGTTTGTGTATTTCTCTCCTCTTAGAGCTTTGTACCTTGAGTTACTTAGTAGTTACTTAGCCTTTCAATTTAAAATTAGAACGATAGTGCCAACAGGATGGACAGGTCCAGTCAAATTGTGAGTCTCGTTCCAATGAATGGAGAGAACAGGGAAATATTTTAGTGATAGAAAGAAGTTAAATGATGGGAGGAGAGTAAGACGCATGTAATTACCGGATATGACACTGAAGAAGTCAACTTACAGCCCTGTCCATATTGTCATATGTTGGCTCTGTATCGCGTCAGGCGCAGAGGCCGAGGGAACTGTTATGTTTGGCTGGGTGACATGACACCTCAACCCTGCCAAAGCATTGAGGAAGAGAAAGGTGAAGGTTCTCAGATATTCTTAGCTTCCGCGCCAAGTGGAAGTTCAAATGGAAATTTTGTGATTAGGATGCTACTTAGATACTACATGGGCGAAACACGAAGGTATAAGGTGTCTTCTCTACTTCCGTATGAATTCAAATGTTTATACCGAGCAGAACAATTTTCTTTAGTTGTTATTGGACCACCAAAATGTATGATGGATGTACAGGTAGGACGGATTAGAGGTGACATTTCCTTTCGGAGAAATACCCTCGTACTTTGAATATGAACAAAAAAACGAAGAAAATACATGTAAGGGGATCGCAATCCGTATAGGATGTGATAATTTTTTCCGCTCATTTTCAAAACGGTTAACGTCTTAATGTTAAACAAATGATTGCATCCAAACATCACGACAAAAATAGAATATAATGTACTTTTCACGTTGCACTGCAGTGGCGCCTGTTGAGGGGGAAGCAGAAGCATCGGGGGAAGCCCCACCTGGAAGACTTGTGCGAGAAGTGCGAGACATTGGGAGTGTCCTGCACCACATATTTCGAAGATCCGGATCAGATGAGCCAGAATGAACAACCTAAGTCGGACTCTGAAACTGATTAGGTAATGATGTTACTCATTCCAACTTGACATCAGTTCGCAGATCAGATGATTTGACCGCATGCTCTCGTTATTAATTCCTTCAGGTCTATTGGAACCTTCAAGAGGTGCACCAGAAAAATATGACCCAAAAATGCTTTCAAGAGAGTCCGCATCAACCAATGAAATTAAGAGTTTTGAGGATTTTATTCATCTTGAATGCATATCTTACACTTTCTTGGGCTTTCATAATATTTATTTGTTTACAGTGAATGATGGTGAATGTTTGAACAAATGGATGTTACCGTAGTCATATTGAGTATCATTTGATTTTCGTCCCCATCATATCTTTTTCGTGTTGATCAGAAGTTCCTGTTTTGATGACTTTAAAGAGCTGAAGTCCAGATCATTTTTTCTTGATATGGAATTCTCGAGAAAATTCCCATTTCTAATCATGAAATTTCGCCACGTACTTTTTAAGTACCCGAATCTTCGAATAAAGTTAATGATTGGACACCTCACAAAAGCAAATTTCCATTTGCATGGGAACAGGGATTACTTAGTCCAAGTCCTCAAGTTCCAGCATTTACTCCCGTTCGGAGCATTTTTCAGAATCTCAGGCTGAAAAAGACCTCTCTCGCGAATTCGGACACTGCTCTCCGGACTTTGCTGCGCTCTTCCTGTGACCAGACTCCTCCGAAGCGTTCTTTCCCCGCTTTTTAGGTCTTACAAGCTACTCCCCTCATGAATTCTTATTTTGATTAATATACCCAGTCCAGTTGACAACAGATACGAGAATGATGCATCTCCGAGTCATCTTGTATCTAACCACTGTGAGGTCGAAATTCTGCCAGTGGCCATGGCAATGTCTAGAATGGCATTGAAGAAATATCTTTCATCACGTAATTTTACACATCCACAGCTAAACTTAGAAATGTGTGCTCATACCATATAATACATCCTGAAGGGCTTCACTTGACACATATTTCTGGATTTCAACCAGACCTTAGCATCTGAAGATTGTGAATATTCTTTAAGTCTTATGGCACCATTGCAAAGTCGCTCACTGAAAGGCACTCACTGAATGCAATATTTCGTCAAACATAGAACTTTGCTCAATGAAGCAGCATGATATATTCTTCCCTGAATGGTGAGCAGGATGTGATCTCCATATCTATGAAACTTAAAGACACCTGTAAGAAGAATAAGGTTATCATGATATCTGTATCGAAGTGCATATTTAATCGTTTCGGTGTTGTTCCCACTTTGAAGGGAAAAGCCTGCAGGCGACGGTAAAGGTGTCCTAGTTTCCACTTTTCGGCTGGTGCTGCGGATGGGACTTGGAGGGATCCGACACATCCGATTATCTAACCATCATGCGAATCTTCAATGGGGGCTTATCTGATCAGCATTTCCTGCTATACAAAAAGCACGTGCCAGCGATAAAACATTGTGAGTGTTCATAACGATACGTGATACGAACGATAACCCTGGCTTGGCCCTTCATTCACTCTGCTTTCCTCTATCGCGACTCCAACAATTTCTTCGGAGGGTATTTAAAGCCGAGTGCTGGAAGATGGACCGGAGGGCCGGAGAAGACAACCCTCAGGTAAATGTCATTAAGACCTAGTTTCGTTCGACGATGTCTAGCTCAGTAGGCATTCTGCAATTGTTATTGTTCCGGGATGTTTTCATCGACTTTGGAGGGTAAGGTCCATCCATATACAGAGGAGACTCATGCGACGGACGCCATCTAGTACTCATCTAGCGATTCTCTGAAAAAATGATTCGACAAATGTCCCACCTTGTACATATATCTCTTTGATTTTGTTTTTTTCTCAACAATAGTTCACCTAGCTCATAAGTATTGTGAGCTCAGTTGGTTTCCCGAGAGCGCCCTGCCCGACTACTTTGAATTTGTCATTGCTGAAAGCCACTTGGACAAGAAGGGGACGTCCAGAGTGAATCGTACAGGGAGGTTCATGATATACCCGCGGATGTCTTCATTAGGATCTCCATAGAGCAAGGGTGTGGAGAGTCCAAGGAAGCGGCGATTTAGCCAAGTGAAATTTAAAAATAAATATATTTATGGCAAAGGTTCCACGTAATCCGAGGATGATCGTCATGTCGTGGATTGACGTGTAGCATTATCTCCCGTCGGCACTCCGATGGTGCCGTCGCGCCTCGTCCTATTCTGACGTGGCCGGATGTCTCAAAATAGGAACAACAGGTGTACTTCTGGTTCGTCTGAGTGCCTAAAAAGTAACAGTCTTCCAAATAAAAAGAGGTTGAATTTTAAACGGGACTGTACTTCTTTAACTTCTACGCTGTTATTCTTCTTCGAGCAGTAAATTCACAAATAGCAAAATAGGCAGATGCATCTGGGTCACGTTCCCAAACACGTCCCCAATTGAATACCATGTTACAAATGTTAACCTCTAAGGGAAAAGTTTTGTTTCTCTTTGAGTAAAGAACAAGATTAGAACACATGCAACCCATTTATTTAACAAATATCAGAAAATATAAGATATGTTTCTTAATGAAACTGATTTGCGTTTATCCGCACTTTCCATGCATTTTTTCATGATTTCAATGTCATAACTTCACATTTAAGTGATTCAACCAAGCAAATGTAATGTATACTGTCTGAAATGATAAGACTGCACTGTTGATTACGTTTCTTCTCTTCCACTTCCCCCATTCCAGAAACCTCCCCTCAGTTCCAGAATTCCGTTCCTTACCTAATACGCGGACAAGAGCTTCACGTATATGCCCATTTAGTCAGATGAGGTTCGAAGGATCCCACTCGAAACGAGGAGACATGGTGGACTTCATGATTTTGGCTGAGTAATGGAGTTGGGGGAGTCTTGTGTGCATCCTCTAATTTAATACGGAAATTAATTCATGCGAGTTTTTCCCATTTTTTTCCCAAATAGGCAATCAAAGGAACCGGATTCCACATGTAGAAATAATTGTTTCAACTGTGTCCACGTCCTAGAAGTCTCCTGAATCTCATTGTGGAGTTACACAGGGATTGCCCCCCGTTACAGTTCCACTGGACCAGAAACCCAAGAGAAGATTACTGAAAATTACATTTATATTGAAACGTTGACTAAATCGACTACCTAATCGTTTCGACTGATCTATGGTACTTGGTAATGGATACCACAAATAAAACCTGTGGGCTAACTTAGAGCTAATGTCTGCCCTTTAATGACTGTTTTGGTAGATGAATTTATCGTTTCATTTGAACTATCTGAAAGAAATGATGAGAATTAAATTAGGCTCCTACTTGGGTTTTACAGATGGAAAATATATATTTGGATGGAGTTACAGTACGCCCAAATTAATCACATTGAGATGCTATTGGTCCTGGATCCAGCTCAAATCTCTTTCTGAATTTTTTTTCATTGGCTACTTAGGATCAGTCAACAGTTAAGAAGACTCCATATCAAGGGAAAAAGAGATCCTTCGGGATATACTGTTGTGAAAAATGCAGCAAGGAGTGGTATAGTGCATACAGTTGGGCTAACATGGGACAGGCTTGCTCTGATTGCAACATCAACGTCTATCCCTACAAACAGGTACACAATACTTTCCTTGAGTTCTATCCTGGAGTGCAAAAAAATCCAGAAACCATAGAACTAGAGTAGAACAGCAGGCCGAACGGAAAAAAAAACCGATTGCAATGCAAGAACAAAACAAAAGAGGGAGGGGAGGGGGGTAGAAAGGTTCGTGGACTTTATTTTGAATATGTAGATTTCTTGCACATAAAATCTCCATGTTCTAGCTCTCAAAGGATGGCAACTTTGCCTGACAGCTCTGGGATACCAGATTGGCAGTCTGAACCAAAGATAGTTTGACACTTGTCTGGCGAGCGTGTGCACGTTTTGCGTATAGTAATAAAATTCCGTGTTGCTAAGGGTGAGACGACCTCTTCCATATTCCAAAGGCTGGAAAATTTCAAATAGAATTCAAAAAGGAGTATGATGACCAAGTGTGTAGAATGTTTTACGAGTTTAACACATTTAAAACACATCAGTTTAAGATGATCCACTCTCTGGCCGCCCCAGCAAGTCTCTCACTGATATCGAATACATCAATTTTAAGAGTGGAAGGGAGGAGGCCTTCAATCGTTTGATTCATCGGCGCGGAAGGGTGTGGATGTGGGGGATGATTGCATTCAGAAGTAGTTCAAGATGGGCTAAGTAAGTGTAAGTAAGTATGTTAGGTAAGTAGTAGGTGTTTCAACAATTTCTTTATAGAAAATATAAAGGCAACGAACATTTCTATCCCCCATTGTATTTCGGAAATTCATCGTTGTTCCCGTTATGGTCTGAAGCGTTAGTGCTAATGCTGAAGCAAGGACAGAACTCATACTTTCCAGGAATAAAGTGAATTATGTGCTTTTCAACCTACATTGCAGTGGCCCTTGCGGAGAAGCCAGAATCGTCAGGGGAAGCCCCACCTTCAAGGCCTGTGCGAGAAATGCAAAACTCAGGGTGTGTCCTGCGCACGCTCTTCCAGCAACCGCATATATCCATGATTATCGTCCCTTTTGTAATTTGGTTGAACCTGTTATCGAACTAACTCGCACACATGCTGGTTGTATGAATTCCTCCGAGGTAGTGCCTTAAACTGCTTCAAACCTAAGTCAATAATAAAATACAGTAATTCCATAACGAGCAGATCTGAAGAAATTTGACAACTTCAGCGATCATCCTTTTTTAAACAGTATTTCTTCTCTATTTCCTTATCGAATTTTTCATATCAACACCCTTTTCCAGTTTTCTTTATCGTACATCAGCATCACATCTCAAGTATATGGTAACGGTAAAAGAATATTTGAATGCTTTTTGAACAGCGCCTCCCATTTTATTATTTGCTTTCTCGTTCATATCTCTCTCATGTTCGTTAGAGATTGAAGTGTCATGTCAGAGCGATCACGTCCTGTGGATTTGATTTTGGTAGTAAATGTTTGAGAAAATTCTTCAAAATACCATGGAATATTGTTGCATATTATCTAATTGAAATCTTGAATGGAGTCATTGAATGGGCGTTATTCAAAATCTCATGCATTAAGACTTAAGGAGACCAGACTTTTTTTTAGCACTTCGAATGGTTTTGGAACAAACATGATTGGAAAGGTAACGAAAGATTGGTGGATATGATTGCATAGGTGTTACACAAAGGCAAAACCTAGGTGGGTTCAGGAGGGCTGAAACCCCCCCCCACACACACAAAAAAAAAATCCCAGCTCATGATATTATCTCTGTTACTCCATCTTTCCTCTCCTCTTAAGGTGGGGAGCGCAGAAATATATAATGAGCAAACAACTTGAGAGAGAGGCTGGAAAGGCACAACGATACATGTAGTAAAGTGAACATGTCAAGGAAGCTTCCTGCACATGTGATAATACAACATTTTTTAAATGAAAACTGAAGGGAAAAGGAAGGAAAAATTCAGTTAAAATTCATGAATGAATATATGTTAACGAATTTCCTATATCATAAGTGATTATTGAAATTTGAAATAAATTCCGAATTCTATTTCTTTACTTTACTATTTTATGTAGCTTTTCTCAGGTGTCGAATGTGCTTTCATCATTTAGAGTTTAAATTCCGTTTCCGTCATTTCATGAAACATTTCTGGTTTCATTTTCTTTGGTCCGCGGGTTTGATTCGGTTTCGCGTTTTTGTTGTGAGTATAGCTCTTTCAATGCTTTAATAACTCGTTCTTGCATTCGGAGACATTTGAAAGACAGTTGAGAACTTCCCTGAACCCCTGCCCCGCCCCCAAACCTTAAACTTGGCTGGTTGCGCCACTGGAGTTACAGCATCCTTACTTAAGCAAAACCGCTCTGAGGCCTTTTCTATCCTTTCCTATTATCTCGAAGCACGTTAAATAGTAAAGTCTTTCTTCGAATAATTAAGACGGTCCAGAAAGCATCATGACCGAAGGGTTGTTTTATCTTGTGTTCCTTAGCTTCTGCTCCGAACTTCTTGGAGTCGAAATTTGTGACTTCGATTTCGCATGTCTATAGTCAGTGGAGAAAAGGCCTGATGAAAGCCATACACGACAACATATTGGCTCCAGTTTGCCCAACTGCTCGCCCATCTCTTCACATAATCTTCCTGTTCTCTCGCCTTTTCACAAGTTCTATTTTTTAAATTATATTTAATTGTGTCCTCTACCAACTGCTCGAATAGTTGCCTAGTCTAATTAAGTCTGCCTAGTTGCCTAATCTAGTTTTTATCTTCTATTTGGAATGATGATTATTTACGTAGAAGAACCAACAGAGCTATAAATACAAAGAAGATAAGGATTTCGATATTCTCTTTTTCGTTCATGTAGAGTATTCACATTTCTCATTAAGTATCCTCAATGATTTCATTAACTAGTAGTTGGTAAGCTTGTTGCAAACTTGAGGAAACGAAGTGCCTTGTCGTGGAAGGAGTCACCAAGGTCTTCAGGGACAACCACCCAAATAACATCCGAACATGAACAATGATCGTTTCATCTAAGCTACTGCTAACGTTCAATGGACGTCCTTGAGAACGTTCTATTGTCTGCTTAAATTTCCTAAATTTAGAGCGATCCAAAACAGGTCATATTATACGTTCCCTGGAAACCCTACTCCGTGGAAGGGTTCAGAGACCATCATATACCGGATTAGTCTGTTTGGAAGCACTATCTTCTTTTTTCTGGGATACTCTGGGAGAGAAGCGAGTGATATTATCAATACAATCTTTCACCGGGAAATTTTCATCACATTAACAGTTATCACATATTCAGGAGTCAGACACGTCCCGCATTAAATTCCCCTCTTATTCGTATGATGCACTATCATGTTTGAAATTGAACCATCCTCCCACTGTTTGTTTAGCCAGAGTTTCATGGAGACTGTGGAGTGTTTTACCTCTAAAGGCCGGTTTGTTGAAGAATTCAAATATCTTCCCCTGTGGTTTATGTGGGGATAGATCGGTTACCGTGTGTAAGGTATTGGGGACAAATTCCAGATGTATCAGGAATTGACCCCCTGTAGCGACAACTTTAGCGGCATCTAACGTCGGATATTCGATCCTTTGGTTCAAGTCATTGTCAGATGGATGCCTTAGATATGCGTGATGAAAACATATTTTTAACGTTCAACAAATGTCCATCAAATGCAGCATGTTTTTTAATCAAATGGCATCTTAACTGAGCGCCCAAAAAGTGCTCAAGCGTGTATATTTGCACGTCCAAAAACCATACTCCTTACACACTTTGAACGTCCTCGAGAGCGTTCATGTCCTACTCAGGTAGCACATAACATTTATTCAACGTTTAATTGGTGTGGATCGAATGTATCACTGTTCAATGTTTCGATTTCCATGTCGAAATAACATTGATTCAACGCGGTGAGCGTCACCGTTTATACACCCCCATTGGGCCAATTCAATGCTGGACTATTCAAGGTCGAAGTATCAGCAGGAAATGATTTTTTTAATGCTTAATCCATCAGTGTTTGCAATTACTTCAGCCAAGAAGTACCAGGAAGTACCAGGTATTCTACTAGGAAGTATTTGTCTCAAGATTAACGTTGGGTTTAGAGTAAATAAGACAGCGGCAGAAATGCACTCAAATTTCGTCGCATCAAACAAGTAGAATGGCATTTTCGGTTCGCATAACAAGGAGCAAGGAAGCAAAACCTCACTGTGCTTGACCTATTTCCCGAGATGGGAGTTGCTTGGGATTTCAAGGGCTTGCACTTGCTAGAAATAGTATAATTAAGCTTGAACGCTAATAGCTGCTGAAATCATTCCTATTTTCGTTCCTAATAATACAAAGTGTTATTCTGGGACAGTCTTGATGGTGCATGGCCATCATGAACAGAATTTCCCATTTTAATATTTTTTTCATCATTTCTGCGTAACATGACTACCTGAAATATATCGGATGCCTTTGACACGAATCGAAGGACTATAATTTATCCAAAGAAAGGACAGACTCACGCGAAACCACTTCGCCTGCGTCAGCATTAGTTTTTTGTTAATAAAAAAAATACGCTTTAGTATGGCATCAATACTTTAATATTGATTCAATGTTGAAAATATAAATATTGCGAGAACGTTGTCCTGTCAACGTTACATCAACGGATGTCAGACGAGACATCAAGCGAGACATCCGAAGAAAAAAAGATTTCCTGACTGCGAAATGTGATGGCGACTACATGTCCAACATGGTTAGGGACCCTATAAATGCAATCAGTACGTGTCCCCAGTACTTGAGAAGTTCTCTAGAAAACGAACGTATGTGCAAAAAATGCAATTCGAGATAAACGTTTAAAAAATTCCCACGGCTAATATGAAGCTGGTTAAACCTAATTATTAGTAAAATGGTATATTGGACCTTTTCCCAGTTGACCTTGGGGTTTTAATAATTTTTTTAATCTCACATTGCTGGGATGCAGGCAGAAAATGTTTATATCCATATCTGCACTGTTGAAACTTTTTCCTGAGTCTTTCACCACTTCTTTCTAGTTAAAAATAATAATTGATCAATACATGCAGTTGGCCTGCTGTTTAGTGAGAGCATAGGAGAATCTGCTTCTCCTTTGCTGAATACGCATCTTAACTCCAGTCATGTTACTCCAGGAGACCACGACGCTCAGTCTTCGAGGATGAATCCAAATCATGATCACTGCCGAAGGATACGTGGAGTGAGGCTTGCCTCCAATTTACATCACAGTACTCATGCGGGTGTCCTGCTTCCGGGGGAGGAGGATGCCTCTGTCTCATCTCGGTATGAAGATCGCATTGTCCTTGGATGGTGGTACTCTTAAAAAAGAGGATTCGGAGGACGGAGGTCGTGTCCAGATGAGCGACGCCAGCATTCCCTTTCGAGAACTACGGCAACTTTCGTTTCCAAGGTCATACGAAAGATGGCAAGACGAGAGCTATTCTCCGATTTCCAATGAAAATTACCTCCCCTCCCTTTCGTATGGCCGATTTGCAAATTTTATTTCGAAGAGGCACATCCTCGGATGGTAAGAAAGAGTTCTTCCAAAATCCTCTGGATGCGGAGAACAGTGAATCTCGTTTTTGGAGGCTCTGAAATTCATTCCGTTTTTTTTTCCTCCCCTCCCCCCCCCCGGTTGCCACATCTGGAGCGTTCTCAGAGGAAAGAGAATAACCATAGTAAAGATTTTGACTCGTAGATGACGGAAATTGGTATTTTTGCTGCTTGCGATTCTCTATTTTGCTATTAAAAAAAAATGAAATTAGCTGTCGTTCAATTAGGCTTACAGTGCTTGCTCCGATACCGTCCCCCAGTGTCGCCGGATACCGTGCCAAAATTATACCAGATTCAAGACTGTTTCATCCTTCGTATCGGCATCTGGATCTTCCATATTTTATATGTAAGAGACAATTTTGTGCCGAGTTCATGAGTTGAGCTGAGAATGAAGCGGTGGTTAGCAGTTATTGATCGCTGTGGTGGGATACGCAAATACCTTCTCCAGACATCCCTGAATTCGCAGGATGGCGCGTATCATGGATGCATGCTTCTTGAGGGCATACTCACCTCAGGCCTATTCGAGACGGTCCGAGGAACTACAGATAGGCTTAACGTTCTACGTCCCACTGAAATGGTTCATGATTCTCGAAACAGGCTTCCAATCGGTCTAACGTTACACGTCCTCTCTGAAATGGTTCCAGGCCTGCGATTGGTCTTACGTTACATGGCCTTAACCAGATGTCTCGAAGACCACAATTCACCCTTATAGGCCTCATTGGCGCCCTAAGTCGAGAATTAAGTTCATTTTTAACAGAAAAAGGTAGGCTTTGCAGTGATCTGAAGGTGGTCTGTTGGTTAGGCCTAGGCCTAACGTTAGCATGTCCCGTAGAGAGGCCAGGGGAGGGGGGGAGGAGGGGGATTTGAAGAGAGGGAAAGCCATTGAAATTAGTTTTCGCGTTTCTTCATATCTATGCGTTTGGCCTGTAAAACACGCACAAACACAATTGTTGCTCCGCTTTGCTTGCGGCCAGGATCGTGCATGCAATACTTTAAGTCCCAACGAATTATTCGCTGTCTCTTCGCTGACTACAGCTCTGCCTTCAACTGCATCGATAGGCAACGTCTTCTTTGCCTTCTAGCAGAGAAAGAAGTTCCAGATTGGCTTCTCGGGGGAATTGCCAGCTACCTCAGTGAGAATGCACAGTATGTGCACATCGGGAAAGAACGATCACGCGCTCATCAATGTAAGACAGGAGTGTCAGAAGGCGGCGTCCTATCCCCATTCCTCCATACCCTCTACACCGATCGTCTCCGTTCGTCATATGAAAACGCCATCATAATCGAGTACGCGGATGGCACGGCGATTGCTGCATCGATGGCTTCTGGATCAGACTTCACTTGCTATGTAGGGCAAGTCCAGCATCTTCGTCTCATCTCATCTCATGTTTAACCTCTTTTGAAAAATAGCCTCTGAAACATTTTAACGCGAGTTTCATCAAACGTTTCGTTTAAAACAATCTGAAATAAAATCTTGGAAATTCCCATGATCTTTTGCACTTTTAGGGCTTCATTAATTTCTTCATGTACGTAGCGACACAAAAATTGGATCTTCCAGGATTATGCTTTCCGAGACAGCTGGCGTTGTGCCTTTAAGTGAGCTTCTCCCAAGAAACATTTTTCGCTGTCGTGGCAAAGGTTCATATTGCATATTCATGTTCAAAAACTATGGAATTGCTGAAATGGGAGATTAAACGCGAATAGGAGACGGTAATGACCCTGCGATTGACGCGCACTCAGCGAACATATTCCAATACCACTTATGATAGTTCGCGGACCATCTTCCTGCCTTCGCTGCTTTTTCGCGGAAACGAATCTCCTCGAGTCTGATGACTAGCAAATGGATTAATTATCACAAGGACGCCGAACGAATATCTTGGGATACTTTTATTGAATTAGTATGGGGAAACCAACAGCAGAAATAGTATGCATATATCTGAAAGTTCTAAAATGAAGCGATTCTTTCGATAAACACTTGACGCTAAGCAGAGGAAAATATGTGGATTAAAAAAAAGCAATAGAAAAACGCGACCATAAAAAGTACGCAGGCATGACAATTATTTTCGAACATGTACAATATTTTTTGAAAGGAATTTCCTTCTTCTGAACACAATCGATACCCCTTACCCTTATTCTGAAAACCCTTAAAATCAAATCATTAAAAAAGGAAATATAAGTCTGTTGGAGGTACACTCCCATTTCGTCCCATCAGGAAGCGATAAATCCCGCAGGAGAGGAATCCCCGCTCTTCCGCACGGGTTCTGAGGGCGGGGAGAGTGGGGCGAGGTTATACTTAGCAGCACTTGCGTCCCAGAGAGCGACACTTCTCGCACAGGTCTTGTGGGTGAGGCTTGGAGGGATCCGACACGTCCAGACCTTCCGGCTTACCCAAGGTGCTCTGCAAGCAAAAATAGCATTTTTGTCATTGGCTGTTTTTAAAATGCATTTTAAAATGGATGATTGGTGACGGAGAGTTGACTCGATCGATATATGATTCCATATCCATTTTCAGACTACTATCTAATAAGTAATGTTTGATATGACAGATTCGAACCAATGTTATAGTCACAACACGTGATCAATCATGCCCATATAATGGTGTATGTCTGAAAATATGCTGAGATGCTCGGATGGAATCCATCCTGGTTCTAAATCCGAATGCTAAGGAGGAGCGGTCACCACTAACGACCATCATGAAACTTCAGGAGTTGTCAACGTTTCTGATATAGCTCATATTTTAGAGAAGACCATCAGTCAGATTCCAACATTTCATTCCTCGAAGATTGAATGACGGTACCTGTGTGTAGGGATAGACGTACGTGCCACATTTCTTGCACGCCTGCCTGCTATCAGCCCAGCTACAGGCACTCTTCCAGTCTCTATTGCATCTTCGACAAAAATATGCCCCGAAACGTCGGGGTGGTTCATTTCGCTGAAATCAAAAGGAAAAGGCTGAATTTAAGACATCACGTTCAAAAGTTGGACTTTTTGTTTAAAAAAATAGTTGACATAATTTAATCTGCGATGGAATTAGCCGGCACATTGTGCAATGTCCAATACCATACTGCTATAGGAAATATTCGATTTTTCATTAATTGAGATTTCGAAGCAAAGGCTGGATCATGATTTTCACGCTTCACTTTTCATGCTTCGTTCTAATGAGGTCTTTTACTGGGTTGCTTTTGAAGCGCATGAAAAACCCAAGAATGATCGGTAAATAGACACGCATGAAGTCATGATTTAATTTGCCCCACCTTTGGAAGGACGGTACGCTCCCTTTGATTGCCAATATTAGGGCCTGTGCCTCTTTCGTACCAGATAGTCATTTCTCCATATCGTCTGCCATTCCTTCTGGGGCATGCATTAGTCAGTGAAGACTGCGGCTGCAGAACATCAGGAACACGTATTTCAAATATTTTCAGTACGAAGGATTAAGATATGTGTGGCATGATGCCACCATGAAACATTTGGCGCACTGAGTTATGACCCATCGTGTCCCAACGGTAGCAATTGAAATTAAATCAATATTGCAACCAGAGCAAGTTGAGACTCTTGCTCATACGTGGAGAGCATTGAGCTACCGATCTCCCGAATTCAAATCTAATAATCAAGACTTTCCGTCAAAAGGAACAAATAGCAAAAATCAAGGATTCACTGTCCACAGAATAGAAAAAAGCGTATTCTACACAAAAACGCTCGCACATTTTGCTATTTGGGTAGGAATTACCCTTTTTTCAACTACACTTTCCTGACACCTCAGCTGGAAGATATGTAGCAGACGGCATGAAGAGAAACAGGGCTTGGAGAACTATAAACAGCCTAACCCATGGTGCAACGCGACCCTCGGTGCCCCTCTCTTCTACGAATCGAATGCAAAGTTAGCATATGACGTAATTGATTATTTTCATCACTTCAATGAAAGACAACAGATCACATTACTCACATTACTTTCCGGGAACATTACTCATTAAATACATCTTATGAGACAAGGAGAGCTTGAGAAAAGCCTCAAATAAAGCAGATGGAAAAAAATTGGCTCCATTGGCTTCCAAGGGAACGCGCCCGCGGCGCAACGAAATATAGAAATGCAAGCTAACGAATGAGTTAGGGAAAATGAGAATGAAATAGATGGGATCCAGTCATACGCGCCATTCCAAAGAAAAAAAAATGAGCGAATGAAAAACAACTTCATAGTTTGTCAGACATATGAATATTGTAATACTTAGCAGCATCGACTTAATGGATGCAAGTGGCAGATGCACGAAGCCGATCTACCCGTATAAATTTCCAAAATTCACGGAATGATTAAACGCGCTAGCGAAATTCCCTTCATAGGAAATGCATAGGCATTTCTTTTGGAGACTTTGCAGTGTCACGCTCGGGAAAAGTACAAAATTCGAGGGGGCTGGATGGAAAAAAAAGAAAGACCCTGGATATGGCGGTGGCACTCCTTTTCCCTCGTTCAACCTTGATGCTCTTATTACTTGTTACTTCCACAGGTACCACGAGAAAACGGCACATATTGCTTTCGTATCTGTCACTTTATTTCATTCCATCTGTCTGCAGTAACCATAGCGACCGGACAACAAGACCCAATGCGCACGTGCAGCTTTCCGCCTGAGTCGGGGTGCGGCCATTCCACTGAAGCATCCAATTTCCTTCCAGCCCTGGCTGCCGACTGATCCATAGTAGACAAAGGAGGAGAGCGGCAGCTCCGGGCCGCATATGCAGGATTGCTAGGCGTTCTCGTGAAATGCCGTATCTGGCATCCGACGCGTTATACCCTCCTCCCATCTCTACGCGACTGGGACGCACGACCATCGACAACGTGTCACGTTGTCCGGGCCTTTTCATATAGGCCTATGCCAAACCAATGACAGCTATGATTTATTTCAAGGTTGGATGGCTAGGATGCGATGAATATATATAATAATTCCAATAGTACGGTGGCCAGTGGAATACCAGATCTGTCCCCGAGCTGGTACTCTCTTTCTTTTCATTCCTTCTTTCTGCAGTATCCATTTTTACTGGACAACGCAACCCGCTGCGCACACGCAGCTTTCCGCCTGGGTCGGTGTGCTCGTCTTCCACTAAAACATCCACTTCCTTTCCAGCCCTCTCGGATGACGTATCTATAGTAGACAATAGGAGAGAGCGGCTGTTCGCGACCGCGCAGACAGGGTTGCCAGACGTACACTGAAATGCCGTATCTGGCATCCTATAAACCCGGACGAGAGAACCATTGAGACCATCGTCTAGCAACCTTGCACTTTTCATATTGCCTAACGTAAGACGCACCAATAACAGGTATTATTTCTTTCAAACTCGGATGGTTAGGATGCGGCGAAGAATAAGAGCCCCCCCTAACCCCCCTTCATTCCATTATTCGGCTGGGCCGAATAAATCAAACGAAATCAAACTTACTGATATTTAATATCTGATTTACTGATTTACTGATATTTAATATCTGATTTACTGATTTACTGATATTTAATATCTGATTTACTGATTTACTGATATTTAATATCTAAATATATATATCTCTAAATAAATAGTCTAATATTTAAAAAACAGCGGTTATTTGCCTATGAGTTTGAGGAATGTGAACTTGGAGAAACCATCAACCTGAAAAGTGAAACTTTCTATCTCGATTTCTCTCTTGATCGGAAGCGTTTCGATAACTCCATCTCCTGTTGCATATCTTCCTTGGCTGGAATTTGTATTCCTGAGAACAGTTCCACCCATCAAACCCAACCAAATTCATGCACAAGGAAGATAAGCTCAATCTATGTTGGGTTCCCTTTGCAGATTTGAAGCATGTTTTTCTCAATTTTTTTTATAACCAGGGAGACTATTATTTGTATCTCTGGCCCCATATAGAGCGGAAAGGACTTGCTCCCATCCCTTCTTTTATCTCGACATTCTCGGTAATGTTTGAATATTTAGTCTCGACAATCTGCTCATTGATAACGTCATTTCTGCTCCAGGAATTGCGTACCAACACTTTGTCTTTCATATATATAATCGATCCAGAAAATGTTCCGATTTAGCAAAATAAGCAACTTGAATATTGCAAGAGTGATATTCCGATGTTCCCACTTATCGTCATCCTGCTGAAGGAGGGGAGTAAATACGCTTAATCATTTTCGAGTCAATTTGTTTATTTTGCCAGTTATCGTGATGGTGTCTATGACAGTTCGAGCGGCATTGAAGCTTACTTTTTGGACATAAATGTGGACTTACTACATTAATGTACTGAATATTTTTACCAGTATTGAATAAAAAAATATTTGCAAAGCGAGAAGTTTCTCTCCGCACCAGGCGGATCATCTTTCCATTTGGGTCTCTGACATTTTTGATAGGTTGCTATACCTGGGAGCTTCTGTTCTCAACTGGTTGGTTGTTCTCCGGTTCAGCGTTATATAGTACCCGAAGGGACTTGGACTCTCTCCTTGTCCCGGTTGGATAGTCATCGTCTATCCCTCGAAAGCAATCACACAAGCTGTTTCCCATACTTGGTCCTTTCTGCAACAGTACATAGAACAGATGAGCCTGGTATGCATCCATCATGACCTCTAAGGCAGATGGATAGGGTCATGAAACGCTGGATGAGATAGTTGTCCCCACCTGCCACTCGTATTGAATCCCTGGTGCTCGGATCCTTGTATTTATCCTGCATCGATCCCAGCAGCAGCCATCTTCATGTATCTGGTCACATGAGAAAAGTTGACATTTGCCTAAGCAGGACACGGTTAATTAGAAAGAGGCGGAGTATCTATGGGGCGATTCCTACCTAGGTAAGTTATATGACTTATGATGACATTCACTGGTACGCTGTGCCTCATATACATACTGAATAAGCGTTTCGTGTGTTATTTAATTTAATTTTTAAGTTCTACATGTTAAGATTCACGAATTAGTTCTTGGCGTAAAAATTGTATTATGATGGAGTTCTATCTATGCGAGATAATCTGGGTCCTTCATCATCGTATTACCGTTTTTGCTAAATATTAGATATGTGAGTGTAAATTATGTATGCTCTAAAGTTTTCCTTTTTTACCTTTCCTCTGTCAAAATGCACGGAGCGATAACACCCTCAATCATGGTCATTCCTATACCAAATTCCTTAGCCATCGCTACTTTCAAGCACAAGAGTTTTACAAATGTATCGTGAAATTTGAGATGCTGTAAAAGGGCATTTCCATAGAATACACCTCAGTATGAAGATATTGAACTTTAAAAAAAATTATATTGCATATAAACATTCACAAATTTGGTAGATTTTCCCGGAGACCTTACCAGGTACATTTTGAACCACTAAGCCAAGAACGTTGATACCTATTTGATTATAATAAGTATCTTTCGAATTCATCTCAACTCTTACTGACTTGATAAAGTGACACAATTGCCATAGATGTAACTAATGTTAATAAGAAGTTGTTGTAACTTACCATTTTCATCTAATATATTTAAACGATCTTGACTGAGGGACAGGCTAAGTGAATGACTGGCGAAAATTCTGACCATGTTCTTGAGAAGTTAGAAATCCGAGACTTGTTACACAAGTAGTTATCGGGATGTTCAGTGTTCAGAAAAAATCTGGCATTGGAGGTACGTGCCCTGGGGGGCAGACGTTTTGGGGAGAGATTGTTTTAAAATCTATATTTTTGCTTCAGTCAAACGGAGAGACATGAAAAGCTAAAACTTGACGTGAATGTGCCTACTAAAACCCTGAATTCAGGAAAAAATATAAAGTTTCTGATCTATGTCCTAGGACATGTATCTGATTTGTTTTCTGATTTTCCAGGGTTGACGTTCTTGGAGAGTTTTTTTTTCGTCCTAGCAAATTAGGCTGAAATAGAAAAATAAAACTTAGCACATGCTACTACAGACATAATGTTGATTTCAGGAAAAATTTCAGCTGTTGTGGTGCGTCCCCTCAGGGCATAGCTTTTGGGTGGTTAAGGTTATATATAGACAATCGTCACTGACTGACGCTAATTCTATGTTCTAGATATGATGGAAGAATGAAACTTGGCATGTGGGCTTCAACTAGGATGCTGAGTTTACAGGTGAATGCCATGGGGGCACTGATTTCGGGAGGAAATCTTTTCAAATGATTTTTTTGTTTCAGTCAAACGGAGAGACAGGGAAACCTGAAAATTGGTATGAATACGACTACTAACACACTGAGTAGAAGAACAATTTCAAGTTTCCAATACATCCAATGGGGGCATATTTTTTGGAGTGACGATTTCAATTAATTTACTTTCGCCCTTTCCAAATCCTTCCGAAACGGAGAGGTGAACCTTGACACACATAACTGACATGTTGCTCCTTTCAGGAAAAAGTCAAATTTTGTGGTGCAGCAGTCGACCCACCTAAAAGTTGTGCAGGGAATACCTTTCGAGTGGGTCGACTTTCCAAATATATTTTTGCGTTTGAGACTTGGTGTATACGGAGTTCTCTGAGTACCGATTTATGTAGAAATATTATTATTTTGGCAAATCCCCTCAGGACATATATTTCGTGAGAGGCACATTTGCCAGGATTTATTCCAATCCAACAAAAGAGCGAGCAATAGAATGTTGAAACTCTGCTCAAAGGTGCCTGTATAATTGCTGAGTGCAGAAAAAATCCTATTTTAAAATATATATCCTAAAGTAAAATTATGAGCAGGCAGTATTTCAAGATTCACCTTCCCCTCTGACAAAGAGGGAAACATGAAGAAAACTGAAGTTAGGCTCGCTAGAAAGTATCGGAGTAACGATTTCGAGAAAAGTCCTCGTGACGTCCCCTCATGCAAATATTTCGACGGGATGTACATTACCAGTTTTTGCCACTTCGAAAATAAGCGCCGAAGGCGTAACAATAGCGAGTTTGTTCACCCGGTGGGCAAACGAACTCGCTGGTTAATATAATGCTCATAGTTTCTTCAGTCGTTTTACAGGAAACTAGGGTGTCAAATATCTCTACCTGAAAAGATCTGAGGGAAGCCTTTGGACTACGCACAATATCACGAGGACCACATTGCACAGTGGGATCTATGTATACACACGAAGGTTGAGTCACGGAGAAATAGACATAGCACTTGGCTCTGACGTTGACATCATGGATCCAAGGTCATGAATGTGTATGAAAGGGCGCAGCTCTATTCCTTATATCGCGGGTAGATATCAATCCCGGATCGCAAAGCATGCTTGTGTTTCACTGGAAGATGGTTGAAATACCCGTGTGGCACAGCAACGTTGAATAGACGTTGAATATATGTAGATATATCGACCTGGAGACGTTGAGTAAACGTCGAGAGTACACGTAGACTCGACGTGGAAATGGGAATATGATCTACGTAGAATAAACGTAGATTTGGAAACGTTGAGTAAACGTTGAGAGTCTACGTAGAATCGACGTGGAAATGGGAATATCATCTACGTGGATTAAACGTAGATTTGGAAACGTTTTTTTTTCTGTGGCTTTTCCAATTACTCCTTCCATCGTAGAGATTCGCAAGGAATACAATCCAACCAGGAAATTCCCCAACACAAGAGATATATTTCGTTTTCGCCAATTTCTCCCAATATTAACATTTCCAGAATAAACAGAACTTGAAGGAAAATAAATCACATATTGCTTTGACCAGATTTCATCAGATGATCACAGTCCAGTTCCACTCGCACTCTCTCGGCATCCATCAGTCACCATGAACTGCAAAAACGAGAAAACAAATTTAGTTGAAAGAGACATTCTCAAATTAAGAGATTAGTACTTCTGTTGAGGACACATCAAATGTGATAGACCCAATAGTAAAGTGTACCCCAGTTATACTTCTATTATGACTATTTTGAGGATCTCCACATTATCATGGAATCCAGTGAGCCTTTCTTCATTAGTTGCATAAATAATAGAGAGCTGCAAGGACTTACTTTTAACTTCAGTTTGCTCATTCAGATTATAATAACAATAGCCCACAAATCAAGAGGAAAAACTGAAATACTCTAATTCTATATTAGTGAGCCACTAATTCCATTGTACCAGGCTATCCTTAAGTAAGTGATGATTCCCTTTCATTGAAACATTGCATTTAAAATATAACTGAGACAAATCATGCAGAAATTCAAAACATGGGGTATATTTTCAGCAGCAATAACATATTTTTAATGGAAATAGAATATTTAGAATTAAAACTCCACTCTTCTCAAGTTGGATGACTACCTTATAAGTATTTCACTACACACTCCCACAGTAATTACAGAGGATTATATCTCATGATACAATCAAATGGTGATGATCCAATTCAAAGGGTAATGAAGCATGTCACCAATGACCTGACAAGAGGAGTGGAAAAAGTTTTGATGTTTTTGAGGACCGCATGAATTCTCCCCTTTTAAACACTTATATTAACCCTGTCTCCATTAAGAAAAACCTTTTTTTTTCTCTTGCCTTGCCTTGGAAGTTGGGAAGGAGGGAAAAAAATGGTTTTTCTTAACTGAGACAGGATTAAGGATCACTCTCCTTTCCACCATCTTCACTCACTGGTACAAAGGTAAGCATTCTCATTTTGCTCTTGTTAACACATTCTATAATCAAAATACTGATCATCCATGAACAGAATTTCAAAGTCTGGAAACAAGCTAACCCCCTCCCCCACATATTAATTTTGGAAATCCTGTCAAAAGCATTCTCATTTTGCTCTTGTTAACACATTCTATAATCAAAATACTGATCATCCATGAACAGAATTTCAAAGTCTGGAAACAAGCTAACCCCCTCCCCCACATATTAATTTTGGAAAACCTGTCAATCAAACCTATAAACTGTGGGAATTTTCCACCTGAAAACTGAAGAATAATTCTGGCAGCAGAGTTTGGATCACTTACTTTATTTCTAGTGTGCTTGGCCTCTGCTTGTTGAAGTCTTTTAGGGGCATTTTTCAGCCATGAAGAAAGGGCTTTATTGAAATCCTTTTTGGTCACATCCTGGAATAAGCATTCTCATTTTGCTCTTGTTAACACATTCTATAATCAAAATACTGATCATCCATGAACAGAATTTCAAAGTCTGGAAACAAGCTAACCCCCTCCCCCACATATTAATTTTGGAAATCCTGTCAACCAAACCTATAAACTGTGGGTATTTTCCACCTGAAAACTGAAGAATAATTTTGGCAGAAAAGTTTGGATCACTTACTTTATTTAAATCCTTTTTGGTCACATCCTAGAATTTTGGATTCTGTTGCACTGCATCTATAAATTGAAAAAATAAAATATTAAAGCTCCAAATTACAAAAGCTGTACAATGAAATGTTCAGATGTCACTTACCAAAAACAATTTCATATGATCTGGTGATTTTGAAGGGGACTTTTAGCTTCCTTCCCTCAACACTGAACTGGGCATGTCATCCACATCTATTCACACACAACTGTGAAGAAAGGGAAAGTGGAGGAGATGGAGAGGAGAATTGTTGAGAAAATGAATAATGTAATATTTCTGGATGCAGACTTGGATCATCAGAGGAGAATGGAATTCTTCTGGGATGACACCGACAGGAAAAGGAGCAATTATTGGATTGTCGTGATGTGTAGAACAGAAGAAGAATTTAGTGCCATTCATGGACTTTTTTCCCAATGGGGTATAACCCCATTGAATTGGATTGGATTAAAATTTGGGGTATACCCCAATGGGGTATACCCCAATGGGGTATACCCCAAATGGGTCCTTTGGACCCATTTACCCGAATTTGTACACCACGAATGGGTACACCATACGGCGATATATGGTATTGGACTGAATCATGAAATGTTGTGAGGTGATAGATTGCCAGATAGATTGCACAATTTCTTCTCCATTTCTTTACACTAGATGAGATGATGACACCTTCTCTCAGGCCTCCAACCAAGATAGTTGCCGATCAGACAATATCAGAAGAATATATCAGAATTAATTAAAATTCGGACTGCAATTTTTTCCGATCCCTTAAGATATGTCCAAACTGTCGGAAAGATGTCTTCAGGATATCCTATAAAGACCAGGGACAAGTAGTCCAATTAGGTGCTGTGGGTAGTGACTTCTGGGTTAGTGTTCTCATCAGAACCAAGATACACATGGTTATCAATTTCAACACATTACATTGGATCCACGTTTTTTGAAGATGGGAAATGAAATTCCCATCTCAATCTGAATTGTGAAAAATATATATGTTATTTGTGTGTTTTTCTTCAATTATATTTTTGGCATTCATATACTTGTGTTGCTCTTTTCTGATTTTCTTGGATTGCCACATGTAATGTGTTATGGAATTGGAATTGATATCGAAAGGATGCACTTGTAATTTGGTCTGTTGAGAACACTAAACCAGCTGGGTCACTCTTCTCCACCACTCATATCATCATTATAGTGAGGAAGACTCCACATTGCAATCCCATACTGTGAGTCATACTGTGACTGACGCAATCAGTTGGTTGACTCAGTGTGTGTCACATGTCCCACCTACAAATATGAAAAATAAATAAATATTTCTCTTCAGGATTATTCTCCCATTGATTATCCAATAAATTCTGCATAGTCGTTAACATTTAACAACGGATGTACCTTCCCCAATAGCACAAGTATGTCTTGAAGACGTCTTAATACTGTTTTCATGAATAAATTAGACATCTCAAAGACATCTTGACAAAACGTCTTGAATGCCTGCAAATGTCCCCTTCCAAAGATGTCTTTATTTGTTACTTTGAAAGCAAGTCAGAGATGTTTTGAAGATAACTCATTTTCCCTAAAATGGTATAGTAATACATTGGTTTCAGAGTTACTTAGACATTAGGTACCAGTATGTCGAGTTTCATGGAATTAGAAGCATTAAAAGATTGGGCAATGTAAGAGTTTGTCATTGATCTAACCTAGGTCCTTTGCTTTACCTCATTCATGTGAATGACATTTATAACCCATGTGGCACAGCAACGTAGAATATACAGTATGTAGATGTATCAACCTGGAGACGTTGAGTAAACGTCGAGAGTCTACGTAGAATCGACGTGGAAATGGGAATATCATCTACGTGGATTAAACGTAGATTTGGAAGCGTTCTTTTTCTGTGGCTTTTCCAATTACTCCTTCCATCGTAGAGATTCGCAAGGAATACAATCCAACCAGGAAATTCCCCAACACAAGAGATTTTATTTCGTTTTCACCAATTTCTCCCAATATTAACATTTCCAGAATAAACAGAACTTGAAGGAAAATAAATCACATATTGCTTTGACCAGATTTCATCAGATGATCACAGTCCAGTTCCACTCGCACTCTCTCGGCATCCATCAGTCACCATGAACTGCAAAAACGAGAAAAAAAATTTAGTTGAAAGAGACATTCTCAAATTAAGAGATTAGTACTTCTGTTGAGGACACATC